TATTTATCTTTTTTCTTGTTCTTTTTTTTTTTTTTTTTTTTTTTTTGCGGCTTTTTTTTGTTTGTTTTTTTTTTTTTTTTTAAGGTTTTTTGTTTTTTTGCAGCTTTTCTTTTATTGCTGCTTTATTTATTGAGATTTTTTTTCGTCTTTTTACTATAGCCTTTTTTTTTTTTTAATTAAAAAAAAAAAAAAATTAAAACGAAGCCAAGGTTGTATGTAAAACTATACTTTATAAAACCTTACAGCTAGAAGGATTATCTTCTGATCGAAATACTAATCAACTTCCTACTACTTTCATGCATTTGAAGAAGGCCAACTATGTCGGCCCTTCCCAAGAATTCCAAGAAAGTGAATCACTTCAATACACAGGTGAATTGTACGAAAATAAATTGAATCCAGATAATTTATACGTAGATGAATTTTACCAAGATGAATCATATTTAAATGAGTCATACCAAGCTGAATTATACCTGGACGAACACTCTGAAGAACACCCTAAAGAATACCCTGAAGAACGCCCTGAAGAACACCCTGAAGAGCGCCCTGAAAAGCGTCCTGAAGAACGCCCTGAAGAATCGTGCCCTAATGAATCATCATCTCAAGGGTAAAGTATGTCAAATATTATGCAGACATCCTTTATTTTATTAAATTTTTTTTTATTTCATAGATCTATTGTGTGGAAGTATTTTAAAAAGGGGAAAGGTAATGTGGTATGCGGTATTTCTAATACTATGTTAACATATAAAGACGAAACAATATCGAATCTTCTAAAACATCTCAAGAGGCATAAAGCAAAAGTGCCTGAATTGAGAGAATCAAGTGTAGAAGGGGGTGTAGGAGTGGGTCCAAGTGTTTTAGATATGTTGAATAATCAAAGCGTCATCGTAAACCCTTTAGCCAACAAAAGCTTACCGATTTGTTAAAAAAATGGATTGTAAAATGTAATCGATCATTTTTAATTATTGAAGACGATGAACTGAGAGAGATACTTACTTATTTAGAACCTTATGTAGTAGGTAATAGTAAAGTATTTAAATTAATTTATTTAATGGAAAAATAAAAATATAAATACTTATGAGTTTTTTTAGTACCTTCTGCTGATATTATAAAGATACATATTATAAACAATGTGAAGAAAGAACGTGAACGGCTTCAAAAAAGTCTTCAGGAAATTTCTGGGCGTATATCAATAACAACCGATATCTGGACAACTTCAACTAATGAAAAGTCGTTCATGGCGATCACAGTTCATTATCTAAATGTGTCATGGAAAATGAAACACGTTCTACTAGATTTTGTTTATATGGAGGAATTGCATACAGGTATTGCAATTGCAAATGCTATGGAGGATTGTCTTCAAAAAAATAAAATTCTTTCGAAATTAATGGCTATAACATGTGATAACACATCTGCAAATGTAAAATTTTTGCATGATTTTTCTAATTCTTTACTGCTAGACGGTTTTGAGTTTGATAGTATCTAGCAATCTATACGATGCTTTGGCCATATTTTAGATCTTGCTGCTCAAAGCATTTTAAAAGTTGTAGGAGATGAGTTGGAAAAGGTCATTATTTGGTTTATTGCGGTTTGCTAAAATAATGTATCTTTGATCAGATTTGCAGATCATATCTCATAT